TGAATCCATCGATGCTACTACTTGGCCAATCCATCTCTATGGGGATCTCCCTCTTTTTCTCTGACCCTCCACCTTACCAAACATGATATTCTTCTCCAGCGACTGGTCCCTCCTGACAATATGTCCAAAGTATGAGAGATGAAGTTTGCACTGAGATAGTTAGTGTTAAATATCTTCAAGTCAGTTCTGACTCTTAGCAACCTTGTAGACGGTTTCTGAAGAGCAAATAAGTGGGTCGGAACCATTGAATTTGCCTTTACCAGTCCAGTGCTTATCCTACAGCACCACACTAAGACTCCATTATCAAAGATATACAAAGACACAAGCTTCTTTCTGACTCCTCCAAACCTGCACTTGTTTAATTATGAGTCTCCCAGAAGGGAGGTGTTTTTCCAAAATGCGCCTAGCCTTGACCACAGCTTCCTTCATGTACGGAGCATCTTAGAGAATGAATGGTCCACAGAGCACAATCTCCCATGCAGCCAATATAGAACCTTCCCAGGGTGTCCAGGCAAGAACTTCTGCCCTGCCTCCCCACCCAATTATGCAGGTAGAGAATAAGAGGCAACATCCCTCACTGTAACTCTGAAACCCAAACATCTCTTCAAACAAGGGTTTTCACCTACTTATTACATAAAGTAGTTTAATAGCAAATCCTGAGTTGAATTGATCTGATGGTCTTTATTTAACCCATGTTGTATGAATCCTTGGAAGTTTTGTTGGAGGAATAGCAACATATTTGATTATGGGTCACTGCCTCAGACCCAAATGGCGTAGCCATAAAACATGCACGATAAGCAAATATGGTACCTTTTACATTCCAATATTTTGAATTCTGAAACACATCTGACACCGGAAGTTTCAGATAAAGGACTTTGGATATGGTTCTAGTTTAAACAAACTTCATAGAGGGGGTTGTTGTTGTTGTTAAGTGCTGTTGAGTCATTTCTGACCCATAGAGACCCTGTATAGGGTTTCCAAGGAGTAGCTGGGGAACTTGAACTACCAACCTTGCAGTTCAAATAGCTTTACAGTCTGGCTCATTAACAAACAGTGCCACACCGTAGACACAGTGAAATAATGAGGCCAAAGGATGATTATTTATCTCAAAACACCTACAATTAAACACATTACATTGTTAGGAACACACATGCTAAAATCAAAGGGCTCTTCCTTTTAACTACTTTTACTGACAGTTTACTGCTCTTCTAAACAATGGGAGGGAACTTACCTTGACCAGAGTGACTTCAGTCCACAGTGACCAACACAAGGCCAGCCTTCCCTAGACTCACCTCTGCAGGACTGACACTGGTACCTGACCTAGCTCAGAGGACTCTGGCTAAATAACTGACAAACAGACTAGTAAAGTGAAGAGTCCTGGTGTGGAGCTGTGGGTTAAGGCACTGGACTGCAGAGTTGCTTTGAACTGCATGGTCTGTGGTTCACGATCACCAGATGCTCCTTGGAAACCACATACAGGGTTACTATGAATCAGAATCCACTCAACGGCACACTGGTTTTGCCTCTCTAGAGAACCCAGCCTAAGACAGACAAATTGGGTTAAATGCATTATTAAAATTCATTTTACCTGCTTCTTTTTACTTTTTTTATGAGACTACTGAAAGTACTTAAATCACGTGTGACTTGCATTCTATTTCTATTGCTTAGACTGTGAATCAAACAGAATGGGTATGGAAGATGGCTCTATCCCTAGGTGGGCATGGGCTTTCACTTACCATTTCTGAGCTTCCACTGTATTATCTGCAAAATGGGCATAGTACCTGCCTCAAAAGCTTATTTTGGAGATTAAATAAATTAATGTATGTAAAATGTTTTGTGCTATGTTTGCACCATGGAAACAGTTGCATCAAAATTACCATCAGTTAAAGTAAACAAGTGTAAATTACTACAATTCGATGAGCTTGACCTATGCTTATGGATGTACTAGCTCTAATTACCAACTGAGATGGAAGAAGTCTTCACATCAAGTATCAAACCTATCCCCTCTGTATATAGGGTTGATATAGGCATTGTGTACCTAAAATGGGACAGAGGGAGAGGGGCTATAAAGGCATGAAGTGACTGGCTAACAAGTTTTCAAGAGAGAGTTTAGTTTCAGAGTGTGTGGGGGAAGGCAGACTCCCCACTGAATAGTTTTCATCGTGTCTAGATGGGTCTGGTGAAAGGAGATGGGGATAAGATTCTTATGATTCAACAGTGAATAATTGTCATGAATAATTGCGACTGTCACAACTGTAAAGGTAGAAGCTGTGTTACAAAAAGGGGGGAGTAGTTAATTTTACAGTCCAGAAACAGAGGACCCTAGGACCATCAAGGGAGAAGAGCATGAGCAAAATGTGGGATCCTATCCAGAGAAGCAGCAACACCAGAGAAGGAGGCAGAGATGATGACATGAAGAGAGGGAACAGCTGTGGTGTCTAGACTCATGGAAAGAGAAAGGCTGTGTGCTGGTGGCCTGGAGGAAGACTTATAGAATGTACTCTTTAGTTGTTTAAATTACTATATATTCCTGAGTGCTTTTGTGTATACCGCCCCCCACAAAAAACAAAACAAAACAAATACTGTTGAATGATGATTCATGGAGGAGATGGTAATCATTGCAATGAAACAGTGAGTAAAAAACCGATGTTCTCCCGTTCTCCCATGTAAACTATCACTCAATTCACAATAAAAACTT